GCTGTGCATTTGGATAGGGGTTCTCTTGAAACCAGCAGCCTTCTGTGGGGAGCAGTTTCAAGACAGTTAATTGGAAACTTTGGAGCCAGTCAGTCCTACTGCACTTGTACACCCCAGAGCTACGTAGACACCTCTCAGGGCTGGGGCTGGCTCCCTGGCAGAGCAGCCTTGGTGCTTCCTTGGCTGGCTGCCACAACCCTGTCATTTGGCTCTGCTTCTGCCCCCGCCACCCACCCCACAGTTGTGTGTTCTCATCTGCAGGTAAACTGCCTAGTCTTTCCCACAACACCCACACTGCCTCGGATCCTTTTATCAGCCCCATGCCCTCCCTCTTTACCCTCCCTGACCCTCGTCTTCCCTTCCTGGCCAACCTTCTTCAAGGGTGTTATCTACACTGGCTTTCCCCACTCACTGCCAGTTATTCCCTAGCCCACCATCTCACCCAACCCCCTAGGCCAGGGGTGGGCAAACTTTTTGACTCGAGGGCCACAATGGGTTCTTAAACTGGACCGGAGGGCCGGAACAAAAGCATGGATGGAGTGTTTGTGTGAACTAATATAAATTCAAAGTAAACATCATTACATAAAAGGGTATGGTCTTTTTCTTTTTTTTTAGTTTTATTCATTTCAAGCGGGCCGTAGTTTGCCCACGGCTGCCCTAAGCAGTCTAATCCAGCGGGCATTTCTCTGTCTCTAGTCCCTGAATTTCTAACCTCCCATACTCTTGGATTTCCTCCTACCCCTTGGGTCACCCTTTGGTTTCACTCTTTTCATTGCCACCCCTCCAATCTCTCACCCTTCAAAAAAACACTTCAGAGCATTTCATATGCAATTTAGACAATCAATGGCTGAGGTTTAGACAAGTGATCCAATCAGACCTTGGGCTTTTCTGGAAGGCTGGGCATATTCCCTGACTGGAGAGGCACCTGGTCTGTGCCCCACCTTTCAGTGCCTCACTTTCTGACAGGATCTACTTAGAGAACAGAAGTCAGGTCCTTTTAGAGCAGGCTTGGCCCTGCCTCTCTGCCTGGGGAAGGAGGGTGAAGGGGGTACTGCCCAGGACCAGGGTACAAAGAGGCCTGCCCAAGGGACTCCTGCCCTTTCCGGGTGCTTCCTTCAATCTGGGTTGCTGGAATGATAGCCTCAGAAGAATGGTTTATTGTAGAGGCTGTAAGAGCCTTGCTGATGGTTCCTAGCTGCGTACCTCCAGACTTTATGACCACGGCTTGGGTTCACCTAGTGTCAGAAGTCCCTTAGTCCCTCCAGATTCAGGAGAGCCCAAATCAGAGCCATCTTCTTATCCCACACTCCATCCAGTCAGCTCTGCCAGCCCTATCCAGCAACCAGCAAGGTTGTTCACCCAACGGCTGTCTCTTTCCTCTTTAGCCTCTGATGTGGCCGTACAGCCAAATCAGTCTAAGAGTTAACCCTGCCATCCTATGTGGCTATCCGGTGTCTTCACTTGTTAGCCTTCACTGACCTCTTCTGCCTCAATTCTTGCCACTTGACTCATTTCCCAGCCTTGCCTCCACCAGCAGTGGGGCTGACCCATCACTGCCCATCCTCTGTTTGGCTCCTTTCCAGGCTGTATCTTGGAGAAGAGTTGCTGCTAGAACTTTAGCAGAGGAATGTCATGAGATTGGTGTTTCTGGAGGTTTACTCTGGGGTAAAAGCTTTAGGGAAGGCAGTTTGAAAGTATTAAAAGTTTAAGAATATACACTCTTCAACCCAGCAATCCACTTGTAGGACTCTGTCCTTCAAAACCATTCCACTTGTGAGCTAAAAGCATTGCACAGGGTAGATGACAGGGCAAAATTGGAAACAACTATAAGTCTTTCAGAGGGGAGGGTGAGAAACAGCACAGCACAGCTGTCCTAGGGACACTTGGTGGCTTTTAAAGTCTAAGATAGAACCTGGAGAATAATACACGGAATCTGAATATAATGATGTGTATAAATAGAGAAAGGACTGAAAGAATGGGCTCCAAACTTAACAGTGGCCACTCTGGCGAGAGCAGCATGGGAAATAAAAGAGGCTTCCATGTTTTGTTCTGAGGACTTCTGTATGATGTTTAAGATGTATCTGTATGTTACTGGTGCAATTTAAAACTTAGAAGGGAAGGTAACTGGCTGCAGTGTAAACCATGGAGGATGAATTGGAGGAGCAAGACAGGGCTATGCCTGCAGGAATGTGGTGGGCAGCATGGATGAAGAGCACTTGGAGGGAAGACCATCTGGCTACCCCTTACCCACCACACGTGTGTATCTCAGTGACAATGTCTTCTGCTTCTACCAGGGGACATGTGGCCCCTGAAGAACAAGGAAACCAGCTTGTTTGTTGATCTCCAAAAAAGAATTTCTGAAAGGGCTCCCCACTCAGGTGGCAGGATGTGGCAACGAAGGTGGCTTTCAGTGGCATTCATCTTATTTAGCCACATCACACAGTTGGTTCTCAGTAAACCATTTTGCACCCTACATGGGTTTGGGGGTTTACTCCCCCTCTTAACCTTCTTTATCGCCCGCCCCCCCCGCTGCTCTTGCCAGAGTGGCCACTATTAAGTTTGGAGTCCATTCTTCCAGCCCTTTATTTATACACATCAGTGTATTCAGATTCTGCATATTATTCTCCCGGTTCTATCTTGGACTTTAAAAGCCACCAAGTGTACCCAGGACAGCTGTACTACAGAGAATAGAGTTAATTATTCCCCTCAGTCATGGCACATTACCATGCCAACGTGTGCAAGGCCTTTTTATTTATTTATTTATTTATTTATTTTTTAAATATTTTATTGATTTTTTACAGAGAGGAAGGGAGAGGGATAGAGAGCTAGAAACATCGATGAGAGAGAAACATCGATCAGCCGCCTCCTGCACACTCCCCACTGGGGATGTGCCTGCAACCAAGGTACATGCCCCTGACCGGAATCGAACCCGGGACCCCTCAGTCCGAAGGCCGATGCTCTATCCACTGAGCCAAACCGGTTCGGCGGCCTTTTTATTTATTACTAGAGGCCCTGTGCACGGATTCATGCACCCGTGGGGTCCCTCGGCATGGCCTGTGGAGATTGGGCCGAAACCGGCAGTCCAACACCACCTGCCGCTCCTGCCTGCCACGCCTGCTCATCCTGCCCCTCCTGCCCCCCCACTCCTGCTGTGCCTGCTGCGGGCTCGCGCCCAGTCAGTCCTGATCAGGAGACTGCTATGAGCCCGGTGTCTGGCGCCCAGCAGTCAGCTGAGCAGCACTCCCACTGTGGGAACACACTGACCACCAGGGGACGGCTCCTGCGTAGAGCGTCTGCCTCTGGTGGTCAGTGTGCATCATAGTGAATGGTTGACAGGTCGATTGTTCAGTCCCTTAGGCTTTTATATATATAGATTCTCTTGTATCCCCATATCCTCTCCCATAGGCAACCATGTTAATGTGTTTCATGTATGTCTTTGTCTTAGATGCATTTTTACAAATTGTGTGTCAGGAGGTGTTCTGAAGCCAGACACCCCGTGGCATCTTGGGCAATGTGGTATCAGGGTGATGTCAGCTGCCATCTGTGGAGCCATCCAGGGCCCTCACAGCTTTGCTTCAGTTCACTCTCCTGACAACTCAGTGAGGCAAGTGGCAGCACCTGCTCTGACCAAAGGAAGGAAAAAGCTGGTTTAGAGAGGTTAAGAAACTGACACAGAGCAACCGGCCTTTCCTTGTCAGAGCTGGACTGATTTGTATGGAGCTTCTAGCTCCCAAGAGTTTCGCCATCCTCACCACACAGCCTGGTGCTCAGCCCCTCCTCTGGGAGCCTTGTTTTTCTTACTCCAACCCTCTCCTCCCTGGAATCTAACAGCAGCACTGACAACTTACTATCTCATTTGATAGAAGGTATTTGGGTTCAGGGGAGGAAGGATTGCCCCAAGTCATGCAGCTAGAGCTGAGTTAGGACCCGGTTAGAACTTGGAACATGGCCCTGTCCACTAAGTGGTCAATGGCCTCTCCCCTCTCTCTCTCTCTCTAAGGCCAGTCACTGTCTTTGGAGAGAGGATTTGAACTTTTCCCTCCCTACAAAAGCCAAAAGGCCCAGACTGACTTTTGCTGAGCAAACTGAGCAACAGGTGGCGACATAACCCACTTTTTGCTTTCTGGGCAAGCCAGGTGGCCCCAGAGAAACTATGGCTCACCTGTGCCAGGGCAAGTGACCTGGCTTGTGGACTCTTTCTGCCCAGTTGCTCACCATGCTCATCAGTAAAGACTGATCTGTGCTGGGTGTTGAGACTCAGCTCCAAGAGTCGGGCCCTTGTACTCAAAGAGTAGGAACAGGCAGCAAGTGTAGTCAGTCATAAGCACAAAGCTGGGAGGGGCCCAAAGGCTTTGCAGGGAGGTGACTAGAGCAGGGTTGTGACAATGGAGCCTGCAGGGTCTACTCCAGGCATACAGAGCAGAGGGAGCAGAGGCCTGAAGCACAATCCTGCCTGTGCATTTCGGAAAATGACGTTTTTTCACGTGGAGAGCATGTGGGCAGACAGAACCAGATTCCAGAAGTCTGTGTGTGCCAGGCTAAGGACTCAGACCCTGCTGTCAGCCTTGGGGCGTCCTAAAGACTCTTCTTCCCTGGGGGAAAGTAGTCCTGGAGACTCCTGTTCTCTCAGGCTCAAGAGCGGGGCTGGCTGCAGAGAAAGGCTGTGCCTTTCCCTTGGCTCTTTGTCTCGCCTGCCCATGTTAAGAAGCTTACCTTGACCTCCCTCATTGCTTTGGTCAACTTAGTCATTATAGTGACACAATAATGGTGAGCAGTCAGACTTAATCCAAAGCACAGGTTAAGCAAAACACCTGTGTTTGCACACATGCTTTTAGCCTAGAAGGCAAACATTCTAGAAAGAGACAGAAATGTCAGCAGATAGCAATACAATTCTATATAATAAAAGCCTAATATGCAAATTGTCCCCTCGACTGGGAGTTCCACCAGGAGTTCAACCGCTCACTATGACATGAGCTGACCACCAGGGGGCGGCGTGGAACATGGTGGGCTCGGCAGCACAGCACTGGCAGCGGGTGGTAGTGGAGGCCCTGTCGGCCCCAATAGGCCTCATGAGAGCGGACCGCAGCAGGATGGTGGACCAGGTGAGCGGGTGGCGCCAGGCCAAGGCGGGTGCAAGCAGGGCCCTGATCACCCCACCGATCGCCCTGCAGATGGAGACCAGCTGAGGGAGCCAAGTGGGGGCCCAATTGCCCTGCCAATCATCCCACAGATGGTGACCAGTGGCAGCGGCAGGGGGTGGGGCCACCGCCCAGCTCCCAGGTGCTGAGGGAGCCGGGTGGGGGGCCTGTCCTGGATTGATCACCCCACAGATGGCGAGGAGGCACGCCAGACACTCAGGCTTTAATCACCAGCCAGGCCTAGGGACCGTACCCATGCACGAATTTCGTGCATCAGGCCTCTAGTATGATATAAATATTGTAATAAACCAAGAAATGTTTTATTTTTTATGAAGGTGATAGCCTTCATAAACCTTCAAACTAAAAGTACAGGTGGGGGAAGATGAGTCAAATCTTCATTTTCCCTCATCCTTCTTTTTCCCAGCTCCCTCCTGCTGAGTTCACCCTCATCCCTCAGATCAAGGGTAGAAAGGCCCTTCTAGGGAGGAGAAACATTCATACCCAGGAAATACACCATCCAAAAAGGGAAAGGACTTTGGGGGTGGCTTTGTGGCTGCTCTTTGAGAAATCCCAGGGAACAGGAACAGCACCAGGAGACAGGCTCCAGACAAATGGCTACTTTGGAAAAGAGGCCACATGGCTCAGAAAGAGCCCCAAACGTACTCCTGCCAAGAGACTGGGCATCCACGTGGTGACAGGTGTCGCTGCATGCTGGCTGAATCTGAATCCACATTCCTGATGCAAAATCACCCATTGGTTTCTAAGAACCTTTTGTGGTAAATTGTGAGATGGATATGCTGGAGTCATCTGTTCTTGCCAAACTCATTTGTGTTGGGTTTGGTTTGTATTGGAAGGACTTCAACGTAGCACATGAGACCCCCACACATACAGTGTACCTCAATACTCTCCGCATAGGGAAAATGAGAGCCACTTCCCTCAAGCTGCAGCTGCTCCTGTCCCCCTGCCCAGGGCCCTGAGCAGTCCTCCCTCCTCCCACTCAGCCTCATCCCATCAGTCACCACAGCTGAGGATTTTGCCTCCTTAATGTCCCTTGTTTCACCCTCCTGCCTCAATTCTTTATCTCTCTTCTCTGCTTAGATCAGACACTAAGGACTTCTCACCTTGATCACTGCCACACCTTCCCAGCCAGCCTCCCCAGTCCAGGTCTGGGCTCCATCAGCCTTCCCCCAACAATTAGCCCTGTCCTACCCTGACTTCCGTAGCTACCAGTAGCCTTTGAGATAAAGTTCAAACTCCCTAATTTAGCACAGAAGGCCTGGCCCCACTCCAGCCACTCTCTGCCAGGCTCCCTTCCTTCCAGCCACAGGGAACCACCTATGGTTCCTAAATGTTCACACCACTCCACACCTCTGTGCCTCCTCATGTGCTGTTCTCAGGCTGCATTTCCACGCCTAGCTTAAGACAGGATCCTGAGTGGAAACCCCCCAGGTTCACAAGCCTACAGTGTGGCAGGACTGGGAGTCAAGACACAGTGTCATACCCTGGCCAGTGTAGCTCAGTTGTTGGAGCATCGTCCCATGCACTGAAAGGTAACTGGTTCAATTCCCGGTAAGGCAACAAATCAATGTTTTTTTCTCTTCCTCTCCCTTCCTCTCTCTCTCTCAAAAAAAAAATAAATAAAACATTTTTTAAAATAAAAAAAGGTACACGTGCCCAGCTAACTATCAGCTCCCCCCAACCATGGTGAATTCTCTGTCTCCAATCCAGCAAACAAAATCACAGAAGCTTTCTTTTTCGCTTGGTACTAAAATATTTTTCTCATGTTTTTAAAAACCATTTTAATTTCTTTACATGAAAACCACACATATAAGGTAGTTAAAAATACATGCATAAACTGGAGAGAGGAAAAAAATAAAAAAACCTTAAGCCCTGGCCAGATGGCCCAGTTGTTTGGAGCGTGGTCCGGTACACCAAAAGGTTGTGGGTTCAGTCCCAGTTGGGGCACGTAAGGGAGGCAATTGATCAATGTGATCAATGTTTCTCTCTCACCTCTCTCTCTCCTCCCTTCCTCTCTCTCTAAAAATCAATAAAAACACATCCTCGGGTGAGGATTAAAATAAAAAACCTTAAATTCTACTTTCTCCAGGCAGCCTTCCCTGAACACCTGTGATAGTTGCCTCTAAGATGCCCAGGCCCCTGGTTCCCATCACACCACAGTCATTGGATGGTCTGGCCTGACTTCCCCAAGGCTGTGAGGTCAATATTTCACATGACTTTGGTTCTTTACTCCCCAGCACAGTCAGAGCCCCAGTTTGTTGAAAGAATAAATGGATCTCACTTATATGTCCACATCATCCCTTGAAATCCTATGGACAAGTCAGAAAGATAATGCAGAATTAGTGGCTTAGCATGAGTTCCGCATTTGTCTGCTGTGTCAGGGAAATCTGGTTCGAGGACCCTTGATGAAAAAGAAAAGACAAACCCAGGGTGATTGTGAGCTCAGTAAGAGCCATGGGGTGCAATGACTGCTAAAAAGGACCGGGAAAGTGCTGATGGGGGCAGACTGGGGACAGCGTCCATCAAGGCAGGTGGGGCCCCGTGGCTTGTGCCGGCTCACACCCTACTCACAGGACCCCAGGCAGGTCTGCAGGCTGCAGATCTGAGGACGGTCACTGACCCAGAGAAGGGCCAAGGGCACATGGACAAAGTTGTGCTCTGTGCTTCACTTCTCTACCTGAATGATGAGGCTACCTCTCTCCATTTCAGAGCCAAATCCAATCCTCAGGGTCAGGAGAGCCCTAGGGGCCACAGCAAATGCAACTACTTTGCTGGAAATGCAATGAGGGTTTCAAACTTAGTTGTGAATAGTTGTCAAGACTGGGAGGACTGAAGACCACTGCAATGTCAGCCCCCTCTTCTCATGGTCCCACTCCCCTGGGCACCTGCCCATTGTGCTTCTCTGCTAGGGCTGTGCACCTCCACCCCCACTTCTCATGCACCCCTGCCAGGAGCCCAGCCACACAAGGGCCCTCCCTCCCATAGGCCTTGAAAGGCCCATTTCCCCCACCACACTTGGCATTTGGTGTGTAAAGCAGACGCCGAGGTAGGCTGGCCCCTGTATGGGCACAGCCGATAGCTACCAGCCATCAATAGCACAGTGTCCCCCAGCACACAAAGAGCCTTACTCAGGCTCCGTGGAATGGATGTGAAAATCACCAAGGTGCGTTTCCAACCTCAAAATTACTCAGCAGCCCTTTCCTGCGTCACTGGTTCCTTTTTTGATTCCATGAGGAGGCCCTTCTTAACCTCACCCTTGACTCTCAGGCCCCCTTCCTTCCCAAGTACCTCTCACCGCCACACACACACACACACACACACACACACACACACACACACACACTCCTCTCTCCAAGCACAGTGACCTGGCCTCCTCTGCCACAGAGAAAATAAAGGCGATTGAGCATGAAGTAAGGCCCCCCTTTTTCCTCACTACTACCTCTTCTGTATTTACCCACCTCCACTCCTCCCCTGGGTCCTTGGGGGTAGAAATGCCAACCCCTTGCCACTTTCTGTGCAATTGATCTGGCCCCATCAGGCTCATCAGCCATCCTCTATTTGTGGCACAGGTTTCTTCCCTTCTGCTTCCAAACATGGCCCAGTCTCTCCTTCCTAACAGAACACTCCTTAAACCCCGGCTGGCTCCTTTCCCCCAGAGCCAGACCCCTTTTATTTTAGTCTATTTACTTCTTGAAAATGTAATTCATTTGATCAATCCTTGCCCCTCCTCACTGTTGACAGTTTCCTAGTTTATCCTCCCAGGAGAGTGAACAATTTTTTTAAAAGAATGAATCTTTTTTTAAAATATTTTTTTATTGATTTCAAAGAGGAAGGGAGAGGTAGAGAAAGATAGAAACATCAATGATGAGACAGAATCGTTGATTGGCTGCTTCCTGCATGCCCTTGACCAGAATCGAGTCCGCAGGCCAATGCTCTATTCACTGAGCCAAACCAGCTAGGGCAAGAGTTAACAATTTTTACAAGAGGATATCTTCATATATACTTCCTCCTTTAAAAAAAAAAAAGATATAATTCACATCATGAATTTCACTCTTTTTAAAAAATATATTGATTTTTAGAGAGAGGAAGAGAGAGGGATAGAGAGATAGAAACATTGATAGGAAGTCATGGATTGGCTGCCTCCTGCATGGCCCCCATTGGGGAATGAGCTCGAAACCTGGGCATGTGCCCTGACCCGGAATTGAACCTTGACCTCCCGGTTAATAGGTTGACACTCAACCACTGAGGTTGATGCTCAATCACTGAGCCATGCTGGCTGGGCTGAATTTCACTCTTTTAAGGTATACAACTCAGTGGAGTTTTTTGTTTGTTTTTTTTTGTTTGTTTTTTTTTAGCAAGTTCACAAAGTTGTACAACCATCACCCTAACTAATTTGAGAATATTTTGATCACCCCAAAAAGAAATGCTGAACCCATTAGCAGTCACTCCCCCGTCTTCTCTCCTCTCAGGCTCTGACAACCACCAATCTACTTTCTGTCCCTATGGATTTGCATATTCTGGATTTTTCATATAAATGGAATCATACAATATTTGTCCTTTTATGTCTGACTTCTTTCACTCAGCATAATACTCATCCATGTTATAGCATGTGTCAGTGTCTCATTTCTTTTTATGACTGAATAATATCCCATTGTATGGAGAGCAGCTTTTGTTTATTCATTTATCAGTTGATAGATATTTGGTTTGTTTCCACTTTTTGGCTATTATGGTAATGCTACTATGAGCATTCATGTATATGTTTCTTTGAACACCTGTTTTCAATTTTGGGGGAGTATACCTAGGAATAGAATTGCTGGGTCATATGGTAATTCCATATGTAATTTTTTGAGGAACTGCCATACTGTTTTCTCTCTCTTTTTTTCTTTAATTGATTTTAGAGAGAGGAAGGGAAAGAGAGAGAAACATCAATGTGTGAGAGAAACATT